CGGACCATTGCGATTCGCCCCACAGCCCACGGTCACAGAATGACCACCAACGTTGCTCAGTCAAGCTGCAGCTCTGCAGGCGTCAAAAACTTCATCCGTCTTGCTGAGATCTCTTCTGATGTATTTAGCTGAGGTTGGTAATGTTAATTCTTCTTTGGTTTTCCAGGTTACCAAGATTGTAGACTGGCCATACCGTCTCGCACTTCTCTGCTACAATCTGGCTTGCGCAAATGCCCAAAAACTATGTTATGCTTGGGACATGCTTCGGCCTTTTCTCACAGGTACCCAGCTCTTGCTTGAAGGTATGTTGTGGTGGTATGTGCAAGGTTATGTCTCGGGCTGCGTTTCGGCCTGGCCAAAACAGCCAAAGTCAAAAGGCTTCAGGAGCGGTGGATTTACAGGACTTTTACCTGCCTCATTTTTCGTGTGCAGTTTTTTTTGGTTCCGTCTTTGGCTGCCGTGCAGTTCGTTTCTTGGTTGTCCTTGTGCATGGTTTGAGGCTGCTGCATCCTGCTCCAAGAGCTCCAGCGCATTCTGCATATGCGCTGCATGCTCAGTTGCTCAATGGCGGGGTACGGACCCCGGCGGCATGTCCTGGCATTGCTCGATACAGTGGGCGTGTGTCACGGAGGTACTGGATAGTTTCAGGTGTGTTGTCCCCAAATCTGCTGACGGTTGTGGCATCAAAGAAGAGATATGGAAAGACCAACAAATTTGTTTAGCATCAAAAAAACTTGGCTAAAGATCAAAAAAACTTTTGAGGATCAAAAAAAACTTTCTCGATCAAAGAAAACCTTTAAGGTCGCAACATGCGGAACTGTCCTCGCTTTTGGATTGCTCTGGCCATCAAGAGAACTTTTTTTCTGAGCAAAAAGGAAACTTTATTTGAGTGGGTCGGGATCGCAATCCTCGTAACTGTCGTCGCTTTGAGACCCTCGGATCCTCTTGGAGCTTGAAAATGTTAGCAGTCGACACGATACTTGTCATTTCTTGCAATCATGGATGGC